CAGACGAAGATCCGGACCCGTTCGCCCCGTCCGGGCAGGTGAGAGCTGTCAAATCGGATCCTGAAGCGGACATGTTAGCCGTGCTTTCCCGGGCTGCTTCGCCCGTCGGGTTGGAGATGGTTTATCCCCCAGCTCCGCGGCCGGACCGACTAGATGGGTGCTACGTAGAGGACCAGAAGGCGAAGCCTTCGAAGCCTCTCGTCCCCTTCTTCCCGGAAGTGCACAGTAGGCTCACACAGTCTTGGAGGGCACCTTTCTCTGCCCGTGCTGCGTGTACCTCCGCCCTCACCGCCCTTGACGGCGGAGCTGCCAGGGGGTATGAGGCGATCCCGTCAGTGGAGGCATTTTCGGTCAGTGACTCGTGCCTGGAATTCGGGCCGGATTACTCTCACGTCATCCTGAGACCCCGCCCCGGTTATGTGCCCAAGGTTCCTACCACCCCCTTTAGAGATCAGGTAGTGAACCTGCAAGCGCGGCCCCCGGAGGAGGCAGACCCAGCCCTTTCTTTACTTTGTCCAGTTTGCGCTCTGCGCATTTATGTGGACCGTACTCAGAATTTTAGATCATCTGAGCAGCTCTTTGTCTGTTATGGCGGTCGGCAGCAGGGAAGTGCCGTATCGAAACAAAGATTATCCCACTGGATTGTGGATGCCATTTCACTCGCTTATTCGAGTCGAGGTCAGCCGTGTCCCCCGGGAGTGCGTGCACACTCCACTCGGAGCGTTGCATCCTCTTGGGCGCGTGCACGCGGCGCCTCTCTAACAGACATCTGTAGAGCTGCGGGCTGGGCGACACCCAACACATTTGCAAGGTTTTACAATCTGCGAGTGGAGCCGGTTTCCTCAAGGGTATTAGGTAACCCCTTGGTGATTGAGGAGACAACTCGGTAGGGTGTTGAGACACACTTGCTGCGCCATTTTCCCTAACACGGAGATACGTGCGCCCTTTTATCTGTCAGTAAAGTTCCCCGTCAGATGAGCCCTGCAGATTCCTCCGTGGCCCCCGGCACTGACTCAGCGGAGGAGTCACTTGCTGGCCCACTACGTTGTAGGTCTGCCCGCTGGTCAGCCCGCGTTTTGGGTATAGGTGCCTGCTATGTGTGATCCCCACTAGGCGATCCCATATGCTTATTCCGCCACGGTTAAGTCCCCCCCCTGGGTGGACCCGTGTCTTCCCTCTCCGCTAACCACTCTTTTGCTATGCGTACTCCCCCTTTTTAGGGCTAGTCCATATGTAATTCTGCCATCTATCCCCCCTTGGGTAACGGATGGCCTCCGCAGCGTCCTCCCTATCGGGATTGCACGCTTCCCAACGTACTGTCGTATTTTCCGAGAATTATCTAGATGCTCACGACTTCCCAAAAAATATATCTAAATCCGTAAAACTTCTGTTGAAGTAGGATAAATTAGGGCCAGGGACACGTTGGAGGACCGCGCCTCCCATGATGTGGGTGTGTCACGCTTGCTTGACTATCTCCTCATCGGGGGTGTTGGTAAGGTGCAGTCACTATGGCGCTTTCCATACTTCTCCCATTCGTGGATTTCATCCACTCTATGGCACTGAAGTTCCCCAACCGAAGGGGAACGTTCGAGGTTACAGAAGTAACCCTTCGTTCCCCGAGGAGGGGAACGGAAGTGCTATACTCCGTCGCCATAATGACTGTCCCTTAGCTGTTTGAAAGTCTCTTCAGCTTAAAAGGATAGCGTTTGCTGGCTTCAGGTGTGCTTATATGCTGGGACAATTGCCGATGCAGCACACCTGCGCAAGCTTACGCTGCCAATTAATTTCATTCATTGGCCCGTTCAATACTCTCCAGACAAGCGGCTTCTGATCCGAATCCTCCCATTCATGGATTTCATCCACTCTATGGCACTTCCGTTCCCCTCCTCGGGGAACGAAGGGTTACTTCTGTAACCTCGAACGTTTGGCGGTTTTACTTTCATTCAGGAACATTGGATCATATGCATGCCCCAGCCCAACAAACTGAGGTATTGGATGCACGTATGAAGTTTGAACTGCTAAAAGAGTGTTATTTTAATGGAATATGATACTGCATGATGAATGGAAAGAAAAAAACTCTGCATTTCGCAATGCGGGTAGAATATCCTGTCACAAAATGTGATGAAAAGTCCTATATGACGGTAATAGTTTGATTGCGATGTTTACATGTCTGTACTACACTTCAATAATGCGACTAAAATTGTCACATGTCTTAATTCGATTTCTGTTTAGTTTGATTATGACCTTAATCGGAATAAATTAATCAAAAATCACTGTTTACATGATAGATTCTTAATCAGAGTATTGTCTTAATATTATTGAAATCGGATTATTGGTGTCCATGTAAACATACTTAATGACTGATACAACGTTCCAGAGAGCTCTGTTATATATGGTTATTTTGGATTTGGCATTTTAGAGTTATGTCATTACGTTAATGTTATTCTTGTTGTATTCTTGAGTTATTCATATTGTATAGGTGTGCTGTTCTGGTTTGTCATTGAGTGGTAAAGAATAGAAGAGTCTTGTTTAGGAGCCTCACCTCAGTGATGCTAATCTGCTTAATGAACTCTCTCTTTGTTGAGTAAATGGTCTCTGCTCAGTGCTTAAACTGCATTTGTGTGTGCGTGTGCGTGTGTGGTTTCATTTTTAAATTACTGTCTGATTACCTTTAATGAGAATTGCATCTGTAATGAGAAAAAGGAACACTAGAGATGTTGGCTTAGGTTTGTTAAAATAGTTGCTGTTTATATGCAAAGTGTGTTCTGCCTATTTAGACTTTAGAGTTCTACTTACAGGCACATTTGATCTGAAAATATTGCACGTACTAGACTTCATGAGAAAAGTGTTAAATTAATTTGTTATTTATGAATAAATGATTCCTTTGAGTAGGATTCTCTCAATGAATAGGTCGGTTAAGTCCAAATCAATGTTTTGTCTCAGAGTTTCAAGTTACTTACTGTTCAGTTTTTTTTTTTTTTTTTTTTCTCCTCAAGAAAAGTCAGTTCACACTGTGGCCGTATTTACTATGCCTCTGGGCAGCATTTCAGTCAAGCAAGACTAAATCCTATTTACTTAATGATATTTTAATCTCAAATAATGCTTGTCAAATTCACATATTAATAAAATATTACAAAACAAATCTGACATAAGCTGTCTCGTAAACAATGTTTCCTACTTTCGCATATAAATTTAAAAAAAGTATATTTTTAGTCCATCAAGCCTTATAGCATGTACAGAGACATGTTGCACAAAGCCAGTTTGGGTTTATTTTGGGTTAGAGATTGCAAGTAAAGTCATGTTTATTTGACACATTAAGCCACTCCCAGTCTTTTTGTTCCAAACTAAAGCTTTTTAGACTAAAAGTGTAATGTGAGGTGGACGCTGACAAAGGAAGTGCGGATCCAAACGCAAGTTGATTAAACAGAATCGTCAGACAGGAAGCAGTCAACATAGGGGCATACAGGTATATGCAGATATATTTTGATATAATCTATCTATAAAATTTCACCAAATGATTGATTAGTACTATTTGTAAAAAATATATAGTCAGGTTAAATTCTTGCTAACAGCAAATAATTAATATGACTTTTGCTTTAATAAACTTTTAATTTTCTTAATAATGGATATCAAGGTAGTTCGGGTATTGGGTTAGGGATGTAGAATAAGATTAGCAGAATTTGTAGTTTATAAGTATTAATAAACAGCCAGTATTTCAATAACATGCATGCTAATAAGCAACTAGCTAATAATGAGAACTGGTCTCTAAAGTGTTATCAAATGTATTAATTTTGATTGATTGGGATGATTCTGCAGGGGAGTGTGTCATGCATAAAATGTAACAAACAAACTACAAGCATTGATGTATGCAATAAAGCAAAGCTAAAAGTAAAAAAAAAAGCAGTGCATGCTTTATGAGTTTGTATATGTAAATGTAAAAAAATACTCAGCAAAGTCAACTAAACATTGCATTTCTTTGCGATGAGACACATTGCGATATCAATGCTGAAACCATATATTGTGCAGCCCTAGTTAATAATAATGGCTTTAAATTATTTCATTTATTTTCATTCGACTTAGTCCCTTATTTATCAGGGGATGCCACAGCAGAATGAACCACCAACTATTCCAGCATATGTGGTATGCAGCAGATGCCCTTCCAGTCGCAACCCAGTACTGGGAAACACGCATGCAGTCTCATATTTACACCTGCACTCATATACTGGGCAATTTTGTCTTTTCACTGTGGGGGAAACCAGAGCACTTGGAGAAAACCCACCCGATCACTGAGAAAACATGCAAACTCCACACAGAAATGACAACTGGCCCAGCCGGGACTCAAACCAGTGACCTTCTTGCTGTGAGGCGACAGTGCTAACCACTGAGCCACCATGTCAACCCTGGCTTTATATTAAGATTTACATTTAAATATTAATATAAAGTTGCTTAAATACATGACGTTAGAGCTCTTTGTGAACCTAAATTATTAAACTATAGGATTGATTAGCGTGATCTAATCATATTTTCTTTAAGTTGCCTACTCAGACTTTCGCTGCACCAGCAGTGTTTATTTCTGCCTCATAAATGCATTATATTTCTGTAAATGTTATCTCTTAATCTTCAACAGGGAAATGAATTGCTGGCTGTCTCACATGTGCATGTGTCACACTTTCAAGTGCATATGATCCAGAGTTAAACACAAACTTTGTGATAAACTCTGAGCTAACAGAGACAGTTTCTAGCAAGCTTTGTGAAACCCTGTAACCTGGTTTTAACCAGTTTGGAGATGCTGGTTTTGTAAACCCAGAGTTTGTTTAGCTCATTTTGTGGAACAGGCCTCAGTTGGGAATCAAAAGTTTATATTAATGAGTTTACATTAACAGTGATGACAATAGCATTTCAGTTTTGAAACAACATGCGTTTGAATAATTGTCTACAGAATTTATTTTGGAGTGAACTATTTTTTTAACACACTTCTTCCCTTTCTGTCTTTTCCTCAGCCTGCAGATGTAACAACCATGCCAACGTCTGCCACTCCAGCTCAGGGAAATGCTACTGTACCACTAAAGGGGTCAAAGGAGACCAGTGCCAGCTGTGAGTATCTCTGCATAACCTATCATCTTCCCTGCATTCTGTCATTCAGAGAGTGAGTGACACACACACACACACACACACACACACAGACACACACACACACACACACACACACACACGCACACACACACACACACACACACACAAACCCTTCAACTAAACACAACGGTGCTCTCATTAGCATCATAGCACATGTTTAACCCTCTCATAATGTTCTCTGGTATTAATTCCCACCTAAGTGTCTTTCTAATCCCAGGACATTAATTTTAATGGCAACCTCTGCTGTGCTGTGTCAGCAAGCCCCCTGTTCATAGTGGCTAAGGGAACTTATCAGTGGCTTAAATAGCACTTTTGGGGCTGACACTGTGCCCTGTGTGTGTGTGTGTGTGTGTGTGTGTGTGTGTGTGTGTGTGTGTGTGTGTGTGTGTGTGTGTGTGTGTGTGTGTGTGTGTGTGTGTGTGTCTGTGTGTACATACTGAAGTCTATAAAGACAGAATGCTGTGTGGATGTGTTTGTAACAGGCTGCTCCACCGCCACTGGCACTGATAATGTATTAAGCAGTAATGAGATCCCCAGGACTTAGGCTGACTTCTCAAAAGTTTCTCTTTTCTACCCACCCTGCATCTTTAAAAAAAATTAAATAGCACTTGTGTAACCTGTGGGTGGATAGTTAGATGGCACGCAAGTTCTGTAACTTCCAATGCATACCTGAATGGCATGGATGGATTTGTCTTGTTTGTTGGTGCTGCTCAGTGAGGTGATTGCTGTCCTTGTTGATGTTTCGCTCATGCTGCACATCGCATGGCAGTGGAACGGATGTACATGTAGGTTTGTTTACTGTGTTACAGTACACTGACATGACTCATACAGTAGGCTCTGGTTAGAATTTTATTTTTTAGTTATAACTGCTGCTTCTGTTATTTTGACGTTATTCTGTTATATAGTGACGTTAGTTTCTGCAGTTCAGCCGCAGATGTGAGGGAATGGTGAAAAAAAAAACAGTTCCTCTCACAAAAGGGTTTTGAGACTCTCCGTGTTTGATTTTCTTTTTTTATACAGGATCATGCCATCAAACTGTTGTATAAACACACTATCACACTTATAGCAGTGCGATTTGGCTGTATATCATCACTGGTACGCCACCCACTAGTACTAATATACAGCCACATCACACTGCTACTCGTGTCATATTGCTCATACAAATAAAAATATTATATGTTTTCGATTTTATTTTTAAATAGCATTAGTTTGATGTACTTTGGTCCAATTAAACAATTAAAACACATGACTTCATGCTTTAATAAGTCACATCTGTGTGGATTATGTTGAGACATATTATTGATCTCTCAACATTCTTTATGAAGAAAGTAAAAACCTGCAATGTAAAAAAAAAAAAAAAACAGAGGTGAGGGCTATAGTAGTGAAAAGTTAAAGTACCCGCGCCATTACATTAAGCACTGGACCTTGTTGAAGTTAGCGAAAGCACATCAAACGATTGGTAATAATAATAAAAAAAAATGAATAAATGTAGTTTTTTTATAATAGACACAACTTTGATGCTTGTATTAGCTCCAGCTCCACATCCACAACCTGACACATTGGGATAAATTAAGCTTTGCAGTCTCCGTGGTCAGTCCATTACTGTCACTGTGTCTGTTTAGCTCAGGGAACCAACCCGTGACATCAGACACAGCAAATATCCCAAGATGGTGCCCCTTGCACTAAAATATCAAAATAATCAAAATTGTTAAATTAATCGAGTTTGTTATATATATATATATATATATTAATTTAAGTGGAAATCATTTAGCAAAATAATGTAAACTGAACTGACTGCTTCACTTCCACTTTAACTGACTAATTGAGAACATGACAGATGCTTTTACCTAAAATTGAGAGTTTGTCAGCATAGTCTGTATGTATAAATACAGTTTCAGCTTTCAATGGTTACATTTTTTCAGCTTACTTCAAGCTATTTTCTTTAGCAATCAAGAGGAATCAAAAAACAAAAAGGTTTGAAACCACTTGAGTGTGGGTAAATAGTGCAGACAGTTTCACATTTGAATGAACTATTCTTTAAGTATGAAAATATAAATCCAAGATATATAAGGTAAAATTTAAAAAAGTAAATACCCAATAATGACTGAATGAAAAGTAGACCGATATGGTCTTAATATTTAGAACATCCCTATTAAAAATAATTCATTTTATAAAGGACCATGAGAAAAAGGAAAGAAGGAAGGGAGGAAAGAAAGAAAGAAAGAAAGAAAGAAAGAAAGATGTAATGTAATTTTCTAAAAGATTTATCCACATTCCCATACATGTCTGCACTGATTTTGGACATGACATTCTCTACAATAGATTTAAATTTAGTAAAACATTTCAATCAAACTGAAACTACACTATAATTGACTCTTATTAGTAGATAAGAATGTTACACATCATCAAATTTGCATTTATCAAGCTTTCTATCTCATCAGGTTCTTATTAACCAGCTTCACCAGCTAGACTATCTACAAACCAGCATCTTAAGTCAACCTTTTTTATTTTTTTATTTTGTCCACTTGTGGTTGCATAGTCACCAAGTTTACGTGCATAAAGTGACAAGCACTCAAATGTACTTTCACATCCCCATGGAAACCGTTGAGGTGATTAAAGACGGTGATTCACCCATCCTGAACGATGGCAGATGAGTGTTTGAGACTTACATCCTGAATGCTGAATCACATAACACCTCAACAACCGTTCTTCAGTAATGACCATGATCCTCAAAATGAATGATTTATTAATCAAATTGCATGCAATAGTAATGAAACTGTTTGTTGGACACATTGATGGATCCATCTCAGACCCGTTAATGGAGCCCCCCTACTGTCTGCGTGCAGATTTGCAAACGGATATGAGAATGTATCTGCTCTCATTTTTGGTTTGTATTTGAGTCTGGATGTTTACGTCTGAATTTCTGGCTCTGCATATTTATCCGTGCCCCATTTTATCGTCAGATGTGCCTGTTTATGTGTTCAGTGAAACGAGCCAAGTAAACTGGCCCAACAGCTGTGAGTTTATGTGTTTTGAGAGATCGTTTGTCTTTTGTGTTTTTGTTAATAACATGTCTTCTGCATTTGTATTTTGGAATACTGAAAGGCCACACAAGTACAAAACCTTTAAGCACTCTTACTGTTTGTTTTACATTCTGTTGATAGAGTTTACCGACTGTAACAATGAAGTGCACTTACTAACTTGCTAATATCAATTAGTGTCACTACTACCTTAAATGTCATAGATTCAGCAAGTTGATAGGCACATTTCTTAAAGAGCCCCTATTATAGGTTTTTGAAAATTACCTTTCGTGCAGCGTGCAACACAGCTCTAGGTGAATGAAAACATACAGGGGATGTTTAAATCTGAAAGTGCACCTTGTTTAAAAATATAGATAAAAAAAAAGATTAGACTCATTTGTCCGGATCTTTTTCCTGTTCGCATCGGCTTCGACACGAAACAATACCAAACATGAAGAGCTTGAACGTGCCTTTCCGTTCAAATGCTTGCAGTATGCAGGTGTGTGTGGTAGAGCTGTAATAGGGCCATAAACGTTAGGCCTGGTAGGGCCGAGCCCAACAGAATTCGGCCCAAGGCTGACAAAAAACATTTTGATTGACGGCTTTTTTGACCGCAGTCAAAATTCACACTTTTTGACTTCTCCGTCATCATTTGTTTCACCTTTGCAGGGATGGATTTTAATGTTGTAACAAACGATTTGATTACTTTCTCGCGCTAATCGAAATGCATCACAATGACTGTTCATTTACCATGCAAGCCCAAGACTGGCCCGACCCCGTCTAAAATGATAAAAATTAGCCAGAATTTACCCGAACCCATTGGGTCCCACCGAGTCCTGTCAGGTTCAGGCAAAGATCTTCAGCTCTATTGTGTGAGACTAATCATGACTGAAGATGAGTGAACATTAATAAATGAACGTTCTGGTGATTAACCCTCTACTGCACGGCGTAACCATATGGTAACATGATACGCATGTTCATTTCCCTGCCACTGTTTCTTTAAGACCAACATTTTTTTTTTTTTTTTTTTTTTGTTGGAAAGAGAAGACCTTAGAGTAGCCAATGATGTGCTTTGGTTAAGTCACATGACATGCTGTGTTTTTCTGTAGGACAATTTCTTACAGACTGGCATTTATTGTGAGTAGTTGCTAAATGCAAATGTAAACGTCAATAAAAACAAAGGATCAAATTATGTCAGATCCACAAAAAAACCTGAAACATCACCTCCAGTAAGTTATGATGACATATTCACAACTCAAAACTTTTTAAACCAAATTAGTTTTTTGTAAATCGATCAAATGTGTGTTACCAAATGGCAACACTGTACATTAGTGGAACACGCAATACTGCAATGGAGTGCCGTTGTGTTGTGTGTATCTGGAATGTTTCATTTGTACCACCATGTGTATTTTCCTCCTCAGACTCGTCTATCCTCCTTCATTTTGAGTTTAGTGCCTTTCTGGAAGCCTGAATAAAGTTCTGAACCTCCAAAAAAAAATAAAAATAAAAATAAAAATAAAAAATACTGCAATGGGTTAGCGAGCTAGCAAGGTGAGCTGTGAACTTTTAAGTTGTAGCAATAACAACATGAATGGTAAAAATATAATGTTGATTATTCATATGTTAATGGCATTTTCATTATGGATAAAATCTAGTTTTAATGGCAATACTACTTTTGAATATATATCAATACAGGGAACAGTGTATTAGCGAGCACCACCATGTTCTATGGTAATATAAAGTAGAAAAGGACAGAACTGGCTATTCCTGCAGATGAAAGTGAGGGTGAGATGGGTTTTAGTAACCATAAGAAGGATGCAGACTGGACATTTGATAGAGTGAGTTCAGGTAAGTTAGCTCAGATGCAAATAAGACAGGCGTAGTATAGTATAATAAATATAACCATTGTTAGCTAGTAGCTATATTATTCTAATGCATCTG